CCAAGGGCGGGGTCTGGAGGTGGATTCAGCCAATGGCCAATAATTTGGTCAGTCATGACTACGCAAAAGCCCTCACAAAACCTGTGAGAAGAGCTCACGCGCTCCCCGCTCTGCTCTGCCCGGGTGGATCCTGCCTCATGGCCGGAGAGAGCTTCTAAGCTTGGGGAACCAGATGCCTCCATGAGCCAGGCCCCAAACTACATGAGGACAGAAGCTCCTTTATATGGGACCTTGCCCTCTGTCTCTCTTTATCTAGCTCTTAACTTGTATCCTTTACAGTACCCTTTATTAAACTGATAAACGTAAGTGTTTTCCTGAGTTCTGTGAGCTGCTTTAGCGAAATAATCAAACTTAAGGGGGAGGCTATGGAAGCCTCCAATCTGTAGCCGGTAGGTCAGAAGCACAGGGATCTGCCTGGCGCTTGTGACCGGCGCTGGTGGGTAGAGGGCAGTCTTGTAGGATGGAGCCCTTGACCTGGGAATCTGGTGCTGTCTCTGGGCAGATAGCATCAGAATTGAGTTGAGTTCTCCAACATCGTGCTGGTGCTCGAAAATTGCTTGGTGTCAGTATGTGTGGGAAGAACCCTCCCACATATTTACACACATTGGAGTCAGGTCCGGGTACCTGAATTGAGCTGTACTACCATTACTGCTATGTGTAGTATTGTTACTGCTATAGATATACATAGGGAGGAAATACACCATTGCATTTGGTGTCAGAGATGTTACAGGGACTAAGAAGCTTGTTTCTGATTCCCTTCCAATATACCAAACATGTTGAAGAGTAAGCTCTCAGTGGCCAAGAGCTCTAGGGGCTAAAGTCTAGGGGCCCTGCTCGCAGGGACTTAGCAATTGCTGGTTTTAAGGCAATGTCACTCTCGAAGGGGAGGCTGATCCCTTATCAATATGCTGTGCAGTCCTGGCTGCTGTCTCCCAAACACGCTCGCTCCTTCACTGCCTCACTGACAACTCTGGTCAACTCACACTGGTGGTGGGCAGCCATCAGGTTGTGTGGCCAACCTCCACTTTCTGATAGCTGCATGTTGCTCCCCTCCTCTGGCCACATGGCCCCTGGAAAGCTCCCGGCAGCCATGTCCTGCTGCACAAGCCACAGCTGACGGGACTGGTGGATGCCAACACAAAGCAGAGTGACCAGGGCCAAGAAGCACATTCGGAAAGCCTGTCTGGGGGATTCATCTTGCAACAGTGTCACTTGGGAGATGGTGGTGGTCTTGTCATTTGTCCCATCAGCTAAAGAGATGGGAGAGCACTGCTGCAATGAACAAGCATCCAGGTGACACTTAATGCTGGTCCCAGGGTCCCCAAGCCCTAGCCCACCTGTATCTTAAACTCTGAATCAATCCCTGGACTCCCAAACAATGTCCCTCCCCCATGTTTGTTTTTTCCTGAGTTCTAGTTGGTGCATTTATTTTATTTGCAGCCAGAGTATTTCAAGCAAGTCCAAGTTTCTGACCTCACAGGGAGGCCATGGTAAAAATCTCATGTAGCACAGAACCCATGGGTACAGGGATTTCAGTCACAGTGCAAAAGATAAGCTGTGGCCTAGTTAAAGCACGCTGGGCAGGTACAGGTGAAGAGGCTTGCAGTCTTGGATTCCTCTTGACAGATAGGAGGCTTTATATACAGCTCCTCCACCCAGGTAGGCTTTGCGGCCTAAAGAGGTTCTGTTTGTCAAAGGATACCTTGCGGCCGGAACTTTGGGATTTCCCCCATGACTTCATTGCACTAACATTCACTAAAGCTCAGAGAAAACCTCCCATGTAATGGCATCAGACAGGTTCTGAAATCACAATGAAAGCCATTTCACACACTGGTCAGCACCCGTGTTTAATTGTTGTGCCTTAGAAAGAAATACAGGCTCTTTAGCCATGAGATGTTAACATTTTTATTAATTTAGGGTTAACAATGACTTTCCTTTGTGGATTTCTTTTTTGGAGGTGTGGGTTCAATAAACAACAGCTGGGTTCTGCCCAGCACGTGGGGACTAGGCAAATGCAGTGCTGTCAAAGAGGGGGGAGCAGGACAAAATGGAGAAGAACACGCTTGAAAAAATTTAAGGCAAATGTTACCCCCTATTAAAGGGAACTAACTGATCAAGCAGATCTGTGCATTTCAATGAAAATATATGAAATATTTGTCAAAATAATTAACATTGGTAAGAATTAGAACATGTAGCTTATAAAATGCCTACACAGGTTTGGCAGAAATAAATCCCACCGTGTCCTTAGGCTCAGAGTACACAGACGCAGGCGCACCCACCCAGGACAAGCCCCTTGAAGAGCAGAGGCCGAGTGCAGTGTGAAAGCGGTTCCACGAAATGGGAAGTGACAGGTCATTAACAAGTCATGGCCTGGGCTGACATTTTGGTTCAAAGGAATTGCTTGACCATGGGGCATACTTCGGCTGGGCCTCGGGATGCCTCCTAAGGACACAGGCAGAACGTGGTGACAAGGGCTCAGCTTGCTGCAGAGGGAGGGAGGCCCTTCCCATCCGGGTTTGAAGTGGGCTTTCAAAGCGATCGCTGCCCTTTCAAAAGTAGCTGACAATGCAGAAGTAGATGCTCCATCCCCAGTGGGCCTAACTTTCATGCCCAAACACCTATTGTATTTACAGTCTGACTACACTGTCCCAGGGCTGCTCTGTGGCAGGGGGAAGAGCAGCTGCACCGCGCAGCCCTTCATCATGTGGGAGGCTGCCAGGGTTCTGTGGGCTGGTCCCACGGGTGAGGTTTACTGCGGGGAGAAGAGTCACATGTTACGCCAAGCATCTGCCTTTCTGCTTTGGTCTTGAAGATTCAGTAAACGTATGGTCCCAGAAGCGGCTCCAAAGCTGGAGACATGGATTCCCAGGATTCACCTTGTTCCTATTTTGAGTTTACGAGAAGAACGTAGCCAGCGAGCAGACTTTGAGAGGCTTCACTGCTTTAGGAACACCTCCTTAAGGCCCACCACCCACCTGGTCTGGGTGCCCGGAGATGCCGTGGAGGCCCTGCTCCTGGGGAGGTAAAGCTGTCAGCTGCAGGCGCTGCCCCTAAAACAGGCTTTGGCCGGCAGTCCAGAGAAAGGCGGATGGACAGACGGACAGGAGGAGCCCTGCCCTCTGTGGGTGGTAGGGTGCCCCTACCCAGCTAGGAGACACGTGCGGCAGCAGAACTGAATGAAGAGCTTCCGTTCACAGAGCCGGTTGGACTTGACCATGTCACAGAAGGTCTCATCCGCTGGGGCCCCGGCGGGAAAGACAGAGGGGAGACACATCAGACTTTGGGTCTGCTAAGATTGTTCCAGTCCAACCATTTTGCTGGGCCCCAGGGGTGGGCTGGGCCAGGGATGCCCTCAGTCCCCAGGACATGTGGAGAGCCTGGTGTGGCACAGGTGGTACCCAGCATGCAGGGGCTGGCACTGAACATAGAGGAGAAGGGGGGACTCAAGAGACAGCCTGGAGGATGGAGCGGGCCTCGGTATTTGTGTGCCCATCTTCCCAGACAGCTGAGCTGGCAGGAAACTTAGGAGGGTACCTCTGGGGGAGGCAGAAGGGCAGGCCCGAAAGGGGCAGGAATACGGACAGCTGCCTTTGTCCAGGGGCACCCCAAACCAGATGGGCTAGGAGAAAGTTGTCTAGGTCAATGGAAATGCAGAGGGGTGGGAAGAGCAATGGACTCGGGCTCAACTGCTGGCTTTTGAGGATGCGTTGTCCCCGTGGGACCTGGGAGAGCCTCCTGTGACACCCTCCCTTTCTGGGCTGGATACATAACCTGAGGAGGTGACTTTGCAGAGACAGAGCTTCCTAGCCTGACAGCACACAATGCTGCAAACCAAAAAATAACTGAACACTAAGGCCAGGCAGCCACCTTCAGGTTCGCAGGGCACGTTTAGGACTTTCTACAGGCTTTGTGCTCTGCCAGGGCAGGGGCAGTGACAGCTCCGCACTCAGGGTCACCATGTAGCTGGTGGCTGTCCTCTCCTACATGCCAGTTTGAGGTGCCCAGCGTTGGGCCCAGGCTCCTGCCCTGCCACAGCACGTCTCCCCCAGAGCCCTCTGCCAACCCTTCCTGCTGCCCAGGATCCCCAAACTGGTCTTTGGTCTCCTGAGTTCATGTTTTCATGGCCTGTCCTGGTCTCCCAATCAGCCTACAGAACCAAAGCTCTCGTGAGGCCCAGATGGTCTTCCCTGCAGGACACATGGGCCTTGACTGTGGGCTCCCTGAAGCTGAGACCCTTCAGTCTTCCCAGCTTTGATCCCCAAAGTTGGGCCTCATCTAAGAGAAGTCACCACATCAAAGCCACCTGGGGCATGAGAGTGGGACTGGTACAAGAATAAAATAATTTTTAAGAGTCACTCAACAAACTCTCTAGCAGTAGCTGGGTCGGTGGCTGGGCTGCCTCTTTGGTCAATGTAGAAGGCATAAAGGGAGGGAAGACCTTGGAAGAAGCCCCCAAATGGCCCAGCACGCCTGTTCAGAGGAGCTGCATTCCTGCATTTTCTTCTTTCTCTTTTGACCAGAAGCCAGTGGGCAGGGCTTGTCCAAGGGCAGCCAGAGGGTAACCCGGGTGGCTCATCCCCATGGTGCTCACCGTTACTGCACGTGTGGTTGGTGATGCATGAAGTCCCCAGCTGCATGAAGCCCGGCTTACACCTGTTGCAATTTCTACTGGAACCTTCACAGCTCAGGCACCTCTCGTCACACCTGTAGGAGAACAGAGGTTCCCGTTGCTGTTCGCCCACCTACACCCGGTCCGCAGCTGCAGCTGTGTTGGCCAAGAGGGCCCAAAACCCTGGCCCAGTGTCTGTATGCCGTTCCTCCTGACTGCACTGTTACCCCAGAAGGGCAAAGACGGTCTTGGCCAGTGGAGATAGCAGGAGTAAGCCTGGGGCACAGGAGCGGCCTGGATCTCTGAGAAACCCCGTGACTTACGTGGGTGCGCTCTGAGGCACTGTGTTGCACCCCCACACATGGCTCCCTGAGCAACGCCAACACCCGCACCCTTGGGCAGCTGCCCAGCTACAATAGCTACAGGCTTGGATTCAGGGCCAGGCTCCACTGAGGCATGTGAGAAACCCATTCCCAGGTGGCCTGGGGACACCACTGCCCACCAGGCTGAGCTGCCTTTGTGCTGATGCCCTCCTTCCCCCAGGACTCTTCCAATTCCTGCCCCGGAGATGGCACCCAGGGCTCTCTGATGTGGAGCACCATGACCTCACGGGAGGGCTGGCGCACAGCAGGCCACAGGCCACATCTGCAGTTTTACTGGAACACAGTCACTTGCTCATCTATGCATCAACTGTGGTGCTTGGCAGTGACAGAGTTGAGCAGCTCCAACAGACATCGTAAGGCCTGCAAAGCCCAGACAACTTGCCGTGGGGCCCTGTACAGAAGCAGCTTGCCTTCCTGCCCTGGGCCTCGAATCTGCACCCCTCCCACTGGGCCTGGTGTGGATCTGGGCCTGCACCTGCTGCCTTTCCCAAACCAGCTTCTGGTGCCTGGGTCTCCACAGAGCTAAAGTCTGCCACCTACTTTCCCCACTGCTGCCAACTATGGGCAGAAGGGCCTCAGAGGTGGAGCTCAGGTGTGTGGGCAGGGTATCCAGGCAGGAGCCTAGCTCAGCCAATGCCTGGGCCTGCCCTGTGTAGCAGCTCTTTGCTTAGGACAGATGCTTCCTGCCTGGTCAGTGACTAGATGCCCACCACAGGGCTCCTGCAGGCCTCTTCCAAGCGGCCCTCTGCTGGGATCCAGTCCCACCTGCCAGTGTGCTGGGTGCCACATGCCCTCAGCCTGGATGAGAGGTGGTCTTGTTATCCTGATGCAGCTGAGGACGCCCCCACACTGGAGTTCAGGTCAGTGGCTTTTACTTATCAATGTGTCAATTCCATAGACGAACCTGCATCCAGGGGCCTCCTCTGACCTCCTCCTCCCACAGTAAGAGCCTGACCCCAATCTTCATTCACCTGGAGGGGAGGCCGGGCCTGCCATGCAGCAACCTGTCCCCACACACTTTTGGGAAGTCCCTAGGGCCCAGCCATTGGCCCGTGGTGCCTCAGCACAGGGGATGACTTCCCCAAGACCCCTGGCTCCGGGCTTCTCTTACAGATGCCTATCAGTGAGACCGGAGCTAGGGCCGAGCTGAACTCTAACGGGAGGTCATTCTTCTGGGAGGCCCAGGGCCAGCGCTCCCAAGCCATGCTGAGGGTTGCTTCAGCTATGACAGTGAGGGGAGTGTGCTGCAGTTGAGAACCAGCTGCACACAACGAATCTTCTCCACACATAACCTCACCAAGCCCTGGGGTCTCCCTGCCCATCCCTGGGGGCTGCAGACGTGTCCTTTTCTTTTCTATGGCTGTATGACAGATGACTACAAACACACTGGCTTAAAACACTACCACTCAGTGTCTCCCAGCTCTGCAGGGAGAGGTCTGGGCAGGCTCAGACTGGTTCTCTGCTCAGGGTCCCACAAGGCCCCCGTCAAGGTCCTGGCTGGCCGGGGCTTAGGTCTGGAGGCCCTGCTCAGGCAAGACCCCAGCACAAAGCCAGCCCCCAACTGCCCTAAGGATCTGCTTCTCTGAAAGACCCTCCTGCCTCCTTTGTGCCAGAGCTGGTGTGCCCAGCAGGTGGTCCTCGTGGGTAGGGGCTTTCAAGAGGCCTCTGGTTATGCCACCTCCTATGGAACCTGCTTCACCCCCAAAACACGAGGGCAACTGTGCCCTGCCCAACTCAGGAAAGACGGTGTGCCCACTGCACGGCTCTCTCCCTGCTCCCCTGTAGGGTCCTCGCCCTCTGGCCTGCTGTCTCGAGGCTGTTCTGGGTGAGAGTCAGAGGGCAGATGTCTTGTCACACTTAAGTCTGGGCACGGAGTGCAGGAGGTGTGCCTGTGAGTCTCTGTCCCCAGTGGTACCCAGGAGAAGTGACCGATGCAGTGGGGGATGGTGGGGAGGGCTGGGGCGTGAGAGGTCGGTCTGCCCCTGAGGTGTTCTCTGTCCTCAAAGATGCCCTTGCTTGCTCTTCTAGGCCTTCCTACTAAGTCTTGAGGTCTTCCAGCACCATTGTTGAGGTACTTATGATGGACTATTCTCAGCTTTTCGTCTCTGCTTCCCAGGGCTTCTCACCTTCTGATTGCCAACCCAGCAGGCCCAAAAACCTCCACCTGGCTGCTTGATCGGTCAGAGCTGACCCGGGACCACCAGCCAGGACCTGTCAGAGCACCGCTCAGCATCTGGGGCTGGGTGGAAGCCAGGCTTTGTATAAGCTGCTGCTGCCTGAAAGGGGAGAGGCCCTGCGGAATCCAGGAGACCAAGGCCATTCTTCCCTCGGGGGGAATTCACTCCGAAGGGGTCTTCAGAGCCAGGGGACTCTAAAGATGGAAGCTGGCATTTCACCCGCTCAGTGCTTTGTGCAGGGTTTCCCTGGGGGTGTACCTCCAAGACCTGGGCTGTCACCCCAGCTCTGGACTCCTCTCTGGGACTGAAAGCCTCTCCTCCTGTGGAGGTGAGCACACGGGAAGTTCCTGTCCTCCCCTGCCAAGAAGGGGTTCTTGGGGGCCGCCTGCCTTCTGCCCGGGGATGCCATAGTTTCTGGATGCCCTGAGGGGTGGCTGGTTGCCACACTTGTGGGACTACCCAGCATCCTCTGGGATCTAACTATCCAACAAACAAAAGTGCTTGTCATCGTTTTATTTCACGTTCTCCCTGGGCTGCTGGACTCAGTGTGATTACTCCTGAACGAGTGACTGGTTAAAATGAAAACTTTACTTCACGCACCCCTGCTGAGGGCTGCATGTGGGACTCAGCTGGGTGCCGCTGGCAAGTTTCCTATTCCAAAGCAGCTCACTAGAAGGGGCTGACCCCTGCACAGGTACGTAACCCCCTCCAGACCCTCTTTGTGGGTCTCAAAAGCACAAGGACTTGGGAGGTCTCTCATGGGCCTACTGTAGGATTTTGTTTTTTAAGAGAATGGGTTATAACCCAGAGCAGTTCTCAAACCCAGCCTGGGAGGACAACCCCCCTGTGGGCCCGTAGCTGGGAGCTGGAAAATGGGGCAGGCAGTCCCCAGGGTGTGCAGTCCTTTCTGGTGGTCACAAGGGTTCCAGCTACACAGTGCCGGTAGGTACCCAACAAATCCTTTTAAATGAACAAAGGAATGAAAGCACCAACTTGTGGCCTTGGCAGTCACTAGCTACGGGGGTCCCCTTCTCTGTATTTGGGCTCCTGTAACCCCTGTGCACCCATGCACCCCTCATCCATCCTCCAGGGAGGGGCTGCTAGACTTGGCACCCCCTGCTACTCCTTTGCTGGCATCGGTGGCCAGGATTCTGGCTGTCTTGGCCTGAGCCGGGAAGTCCATCAGAAAGGACTGCATACCTTCGGCACACTTTGTGGGGCAAGCCCGGCATCTCCTCTGGGTAGAAGCCCTCGCCACAGGCTGGTACGCATTTCCATTCTTGGAAGTGGAAGTTTTTCGCACAGTGAATACATTCTTCTCTGCTGGGCCCTGAGGGGTGCAGGAAAGAAGCAGGTATCAGGGACTGCCCACCCTTCACCATGTCCTGGGCCTGATGCAGCATGCTGTGAGATCCTGGGTGCTATTCAGATACCCCAGTCCACTACCGCAATTGGGGCTCAAGGTGCCCACTGCCATCTACACTGGGCCATCCTCACCCACCCTGGAGATGGGGGCATCATACCCCCATTTCACAGATGAGGACACAGAAGCATGAGCCCAGCACAGCGCACCTCCCTACTGTCTGGGCCATGTCCAGTGGCCCTGATTCTAAATGTTTCCTTGCCAACAGGCCTCTAACCCATTCCTGGCACAGCCAGCCATGTGTGGCTCTGAGCCCTTGAAATGTGGCTGGATCATATTGGCTCGTGCTACAAGTATAAACACATACATGTTGGATTTCAAAGACTTAGCATAAAAAAAAGAAGGTGAAGGAGCTCCTTTATTTTTTTATGTTGACTACACATTGAAATGATAGTATTTTAGATATACTAGGTTAAATGAGATTTGTCATTATAATTATTTTTACCTGCTTCTCCAGGAAATTAAAAATTACATCAGTGGCTTGCCCTTGTGGCTTCCATCCTGTTTCTTCTGAACAGAGCACCATGGGAGATGACGTGAAGAAAGAGCAGGAGATTTGGGGGGAATGGTGTTGCCAGGTAATTGGTGTAGACAATCAGGACATTTTGAACAACAGAGGAAAAATGACTAAGGGATTATGGGAGGGGGGATGGCGACCACGGAGACAAAGGCTCTGAGTGAAGGACTGAGGGTCATGAAGGACCGAGGGTCACGAAGGAGAGAACCCATGGCTCAGCCCAGAGGATGCATGAGCCTGGCAAACAGGGGTCTCGAATGAAGACACCGTGTCTGTCTGTCTCTCCATCTATGTGTTCATTCATCCCAACAAGTGCTGGGGTCTGTTCTGGGTCAGATGGTCCCAAGAAACGTCTGATGGACGTTGGAGAGAGGCAGGGAGATGGCAGCTGGCTGATGGCTTGGAGGGGATACAATGGTCTCGGATGCTTATGGTGATCGTAGTCCTTCCTGAAACTTCTTCTTCCCCACTTCAGTTTCACTGTGGTCTTAGACTGAGACCGGATTGTTAAGGCAGTGATATTAAGCCCTATTCTTGGAGTGGGAATAAGGAGTAACTTCTAGATTGAGGTGGGTCCTCCTGGCTGGGTTGGGGAGAGGACCCCTTGCAGACAGGGGTCTACAGGGAGGTTCCACCAGCCACAGGCTCCGTGCTCTGACAGCTGGGCTTCATCTCAGAACCACAGCCCCAAACCTGCACTGGACTTCTGAGTTCATCCAGGACTGAGAACAGGAGACAGAAATGGGTGCCCTTGGGCCCACAGGGCCTCAGTAAGGGACAGCTGCCTACTCGCTCAGCAACTCCACATGGGGTGTCCTCTGTCTCTAGCAGTAATACCCCACAGACCTATATGGATTCTATCTGGTTTGTGTCCTTCTAGACAGAAAACTGCTCCTAAACATTGCCCCCGCTCCACATCACCATCTACTCCAGCGATCAGCTGGCACTGGCTGGGTCTCGGGAGCCCTGTGCGGCGCCTGTGGCCGTCTCCCACCTCGAACCTTGCCTGCTGAGCGCGGGAACCCACGTGGTCCTGCCCTGGTCACCAGGGTCCCTGATGCCTGAAGAGTTGCTGTGATGGGAAAGAACACTCACTCTTGTGTTTGTTTTAATGTTCAATGTACTAACCTTTGAAGCTGATGAAACACATTCAGCAGGGAAAGGTGCAAACGTTCTGGAGACGAACGGGGTGATGGTGGCACAGCAGTGTGAGTGTGCTTAATGCCACTGACGTGTGAAAGACGGTTAAGATGGTAAACTTTATGTTATGGGTATTTTACCACAATAAGAAAAGCTGATTCAACTCATATTTTCAGGACAAGATATTCTCCTAATTACTAAAGGTTATGAACTTTATAACTCCAAGTCTCTTGAGGATTCCACAAAATCACAAGGCTTTAAAGGCTTCAGACACTTAGAAAGCACCCACAGATCCTAACAATAACAGCAAAATGGGTTAGGCTTATACAGGACCTGATACACCATTTGTGAGGCTCAGTACAAAGTGAAAATGAGGGGCCCTTGTTCTGAAAGCAGGAAAGATGTGTTGTTAATGGTAGTGAGATAGGAAAAAACGCTTTCCTTTCTTCTGCAACCTGTTTATCCTGGCCTGCTCTGGTGTTTCTTTATCTGCTATTTCCTGTCCTGTTCTCTCCAGCAAGGGCATGAGGGAGGGCCACCACCCGTGGTTGAGGGATGACCCTCATGGGTGGCTGGGATGCCACCCTTCAACTCGGTATGCATGTGCCTCTCTGGATGTCAGCTGCTGACCCATGTGCCCTGCCCCAGCCAGCGGTAGGCACAGGTCCCCTGCACCAACCTACAGCAGACAGGCACCCCAAGGGATCACATCCTACAATTAAGGATGCTCGGTACCTGGACTTATTCCCTGCAAGTTGTCCACCAAATGCCCTGGCACACTGCCAGGTTGGGGTAGGGACGGCCACCATGTCCACCCTGTGCCTGACCCCAGCCCTCCCCCTGCCTGTGCCCAGATTCCAGCACAGGGGGCAGCAGCAGTGGTCACTGAGGCGGGGGGCAGGGAGGGAAGGCCAGGTGGGCCCGGGCTCTAGGGGACAGGCAGCTGGCAGGCAAGAAGAGC